CAACAAAGATTTCCTTCTTCGCGAACGCGAAGAACAGAGTCCCTGAAGCCAAATCCTTCTTCGCGAACGTGAGAGGACCCTCGCGAATGCGTAGAACAACACCAGATACCAGCATCAGCTATTGCAAAATAACCCGAAATGATTCAAAACCACTCTGAAACACACCTGAGGCCCTCGGGGCCCCGTCCAATCACACAAACCAGTCCCATAACATAGCACGGACCTGCTCGAGGACTCAAATCACATCAAACAACATCGAAATCATAAATCGCACCCCAGTTCAAGCTTAATGAACTTTAGAACTTCAAACTTCTACATTCGATGTCGAAACCTATCAAATTACGTCCGATTGATCTCAAATTTTGCACACAAGTTACATTCGACATTACGGACCTACTCCAACTTCCAGAATTGGATTCCGACCCCGATATCAAAAAGTCCACTTCCGGTCAAACTCCTCAAAAACCTTCAAATTTCTATCTTTAGCCAAATGACTCCAAAAATGACCCACGAACCTCCGAATTCACTTCTGATCGCACTCCCAACACTAGAATCACCATACGGAGCTATTCCCAGACTCGGAATCTCAAACAGACATTGATAACACTGAAATGTACTTCAACCTAAACTTATGAAATTCTTCCAAAAATGCTAACTTCCACAATATGTGTTGAAACATTCCCGGGTCTTCCAAAACCTGATCCAGACATACGCCCAAGTTCGAAATCATCATACGAACCTGCTGGAACCTTCGAATCCCGATTCCAAGGTCGTTTACTCAAAAATCCAATCTTAGTCAATTCTTTCAACTTAAAGCTTCCGAAATGAGAATTCTCTTTCCGAATCAACTCCGAACTTCCCGAAATTCAATTCCGACTATGCGTACAAGTCATAATACCTGAAGTGAAGCTACTCATGGCCTCAAACTACTGAACGACGCACTAGAGCTCAAAATGACCGGTCGGATCGTTATAAATAAGGAACTAGATACGTACTTAGACATGCTTGAATATCACTTTACATGAATGAATAACGTAGACATCCTTAATTACTAAGAGTAGAACCACTTATGGAATAGCATTACATTTGCGTATCATTACTTGGATCATGCCAAAAGAAAGAAGGGTTATCCTTAACATACCTGAGCCGATTCTCTTAACAATTCCTCTAACACCTGTCTTTTGCGGAGAACACGTAGCGCCGGATCAAAGTTGGGAAAAATCCTTATGATATCCTTGAAAAAGATTGTACTGTACTCCCTTATAATTACAAAATCCATGTCTTTGATATAAATCTTTCACACGCAAAATCTCATCAAAATACTCAACATTGCTAGGAGTATTTTCTTCGCCAAATCCACCATGCAGAAACTTACAACTATTTCCATTCTTACAAAATCCTTAAAATCTTACGTCTTTAAGAATGAAGATGTGATTTTCACGTTCCTTAAGACTTATAATGGTTTTCTTTTACTAATGTGATATGTGACTTACGTTATTAAATCTTGCCAAATCTCACATCTCTAATATTGCCACCTATATAATAACTTAAGAGTCATAAATGGGGATGGGGTGCTGCCACGTGGGGGTTAATCTTTATCCACATAATTAAAAATTATCTCAAATTACTTAAAATACTACTCACTTTTAATACATTTTATACATCTTACTATTATGGTCATGTGGTACCATATAAAATCAATACATACACTATTATTTCATTAAAACATCCATGTAAAAATATATATATTCTCTCAACTTATAATTTTCCTAATCTCATATAAAGTGTAAAAATTCTCGTACGCTTAATTCTTAAAAATGGTAAAAAGATAACCTTCTTTTCTTGTGAGAAAATAATTTCTATCTTTACAATAAAGAAAATCTCATAAACTTTTTCATATTATGTGTATAATTTAAAACATATTCGAAAGTAGTAATATTAATAACTATATAAAATTATATTTTTCAAACTTTATTTAAAAAATGTTCCACTCAAAATACCATATCAAATGTATATAATGGTATCAAGGTTGTTATACTTACGGGGTCATAGTCACAAATCCTCTATAACCTCATGAACTTAATCCCTTAATGCTCATATGGATTACTACGACTCTTCCTAATATTAAAGTACGGGATGTAACAAGTATATACGCAGACCTTACCCCTACCCTGAATGGGTGGAGAGGCTGTTTCCGAAAGACCCTCGGCTCAAGAAGACAAAAAGAGACAATATCAGCATTACCACAGAAAATATAAGAAAAATAGGAACAACATGAAATCCAGAAGAAAGCTGCAAAACAAAAGCGATAACTAGTAAATAGGTCCGGCACTAAAAATGAAATAGTAAGACACGACATTGCCACTAGCTATCTAAACAAAAACCCTATAAGACTAGTCTAACAATGGTACGAAGTAATGCAAGACTCAACTACCTCCTAACCTACAACCCTGATACTCGACCTCCACATCTTTCTATCAAGTGCCATGTCTTCTGACATCTGAAGCCTCACCATATCCTGCCTTATCACCTCTCCCCAATACTTTTTAGTCCACCCTCTACCTCTTCTCGTGCCCTTCACAACTAGCCGCTCACACCTCCTTACCGGAGCATCTGGGCTTCTCCTTTGTACATGCCCGAACCATCTGAGCCTCGCTTCCTGCATCTTGTCATCAATGGGAGCCACGCGCACCTTCTCCCGAATATCATCATTCCTAATCTTGTTCATCCTAGTGTGCCCGCACATCCACCTCAACATCCTTATTTCTGCTACTTTCATCTTTTGGATATGTGAGTTCTTAATAGGCCAACATTCAACCCCGTGCATCATGGCCGATCTAACTACCACTTTATAGAGCTTACCTTTGAGTATTAGTGGTACTCTCTTGTCACACAGGACTCCAGATGCTAACCTCCATTTCATCCATCCTACCCTAATACAGTGTGTGATATTCTCGTTGATCTCCCCTCCCCCCTGGATAACCGACCAAAGGTACTTGAAGTTGCCTCTACTTGGGATGACCTGTGAGTCAAGCCTCACATCCACGCCCACTTCCCCCGGCTCAGCAATGAACTTACACTCCAGGTATTCCATCTTCGTCCTGCTCGGCTTGAAACCCTTAGATTCAAGAGCCTGTCTCCAAACCACCAGCCTCTCGTTAACATCGGTACGCAACTCATCAATCAGAACTATGTCATCGGCGAATAGTATGCACCATGGCACCTCCCCTTGAATATGGTGTGTTAGCGCGTCCATCACTAGGGCAATAACTACTTTTAAGCCTGTTATTTAAAATATATCCACAATTACAATATATTAAAGATTGTCAATTCACCCAAATTGTAGAACTAAGTATCCTGAATTTTTAAGCTGTTAATTTGAAATTCAGGACTTAGTGTCCTAAATTTTTGAGCTGCTAATTTGAAATTGAGGACTAAGTGTCCTGAATTTTTGAATTGCAAATTTAAAATTTAAGATAAAAGATTCGAATTTATGGACACAATTTTCGAACTTTAGGAAACCATGTGATGTTTAAGCAAATTGAATAATCTTTAAATACATTGTAACTGTGTATATATTTGAAACACTATATTTAGTGGCTATGTGGTGTCATTTCCACACCAATCTTGAGGCCGTTACAGTTGGACCTTCACTACGGGTCCAGTATCCACCTTTTTTGTTTTTGTTTTAATTCATAAAATTGCACAAGGCGCCCTATTTGGTCGCTCCCATTTAATCTATACTCATTTTTTAAAAAGTTTTAATTTGTACCCACTTTTTAAATAACTTCATCTCCCTTTCTCCTCCTCCTTCTCCTCCTTCGTTTTCTTCTTCTTCTTCTTTCTTCTGCTTCTGTTGGTACTGCTATGAAACTTCAGTTCATGGGATGATTGCCATAAATATGTTTATTAGATTATTTAAAAACAAATTATAAATACTTATGTAAGTTAGTAGATAATAATTTGTGAATATTTCTACGTACGTAAGTTAGTAGACAATGATAATTCTGTTCTTTTCACGTTTATTGTTTCCAAAATTTATGATTTAGATACTGTTGGCAATCTGATTATTTATCTAGTGTGTTAGAAAGATTTTTCAAAAATTTCAGCTTATATAGTGCTGACGTTTTTACAAATGAACTAAATAACTTCAGCATCTTCTGCTGAAGTTTTTGAAAAAGCTTATCCAGGACAAAACTAATGAATCTAGGACAAAAAAACTTCAGCTTTTAGTGCTGAAGTTTTTACAAATGAACAAAATAACTTCAACATCTTCTGCTGAAGTTTTTGAAAAAGCTTATCCAGGACAAAAAAACTTCAGCTTTTAGTGCTGAAGTTTTTACAAATGAACAAAATAACTTCAACATCTTCTGCTGAAGTTTTTGAAAAAGCTTATCCAGGACAAAAAAACTTCAGCTTTTAGTGCTGAAGTTTTTACAAATGAACTAAATAACTTCAGCATCTTCTGCTGAAGTTTTTGAATCCATGGCAAAAAAATACAGCTTATTTAGTGCAATTACAAACAAAAACTTCAGTAAATAGAGAACAAAACTTCAGCTACTATGCTTAAGTTCAGTAATTACAAACAAAAATTTCAGCAAATAGAGAACAAAACTTCAACTACTATGCTTAAGTTCAACAATTACAAATAAAAAACTTCAGTACGCTTGGTTCAGCACACTTGCTACTTCAGGCCCGTCTACTAGAATACTGAAGTTTTGCGTGATTGTCTTTGCTACTTCAGCCCCTTATGCTGAAGTTACGTGAAAAAATGGGTACGCTTGTAATTTTTTTTGAAAAGCGGACACAAGTTAAAACGTGACCCAGAAAGCGGCTATAGATGCAAATGCCCCGTTTTAATTTCGACGAAGTCCAGTATCCAGTTTGTCGGCCCTTGATTTTCCCCGTGCTCACAATTTTGTAACATCACATCCTGAAGTTTTCCCTCCCGAGTCAGTGTGTGTCCCGACTTCATTTCCGTCACCTATCTGTTTGCGAAAATGCCCCAAAGAAACTTGAGAGACCAAGAAAACCCAACACCCACTCTGAGAAGATCTCCCCGGTTTACTGTTGCTGCTACTGAGATTTCTGATAACGAAGTCCACAAAAATCAGATTGAAGTCTCAAAAAGCTCACAAAAATCCAGTACTAGGCTGCGAAGGTCGCCAAGATTGAGCATTGTAAATCTGCAGAATAATGGTGCGGTAAATAGTATAGAGAGAAGGGTTACACGTAGTTCTACTCGGGACCCACCTGTCAGTGAAGTACTAGGCTATGCTTCCGCTGACAATTCAGTTGAGAAAAGAAAAGGTGATTTAAAGAATGGGCCAAAGATCCCTACACATGCTCAAGAGACTAGTAAAGAAAGTTTAGCTGGCCCATCATCTGAAGTTGCGGTTTGTGGAAAGGATGATAATGGCACGGTAAAGAAAGGCACGGGATTGAAGAGAATGAGAACTAACCAAGGAATGGAGGAGAGCAGTAGTGCTAATGGGTGGACCAACAAACAGGAGCTGGCATTGCAAAATGCTTATTTCGCGGCAAAGGCAACGCCTAACTTCTGGAAGAAAGTTGCTAAGATGGTAATTTGGCTGTGATTTTAAAATTAGCTTATGTTTCATTTTTTGCTTTCTATAATTCTATCTTCATGACAAACTACTTTAGCTGAGCATTGAGCATTTATATACTACTTGATGATTTTTAAGGAAAGTTGTCTCTAGGATTTATGGTTTTAAGTGTCAAAGGCCAGGTATAATCAAAGGTAGGATTCAGGTATGATACGAATTGCCTGCCTGGACGATTTCTGTGTCTTATATTCATACCTACCAAGTGATCTCAGTATATTGGATATGTTTGCACATCAACAGTTTCAATGTAATAAGAAAATGAATTTTGCAAGTATAGGAGCTGATAGGTTGGAGATGGTTTAGTCAATTTTAGTCTGAAATTGGGGCTCTCGGAATTAAGTTGATCTTTGTCCAGGAGAAATTAAGAATGTCAAAAAAGAGTTTCAGATAGTCTTTGGATGGTCTTAAGATGCACGACCGCCCAACCTGTAACCAATCTCAAAGGGTTACATTCACTGTTTCCTCCTTTTCTTTCAAGGGTTCCCTCTCCCTCCCTCCCCTCCTATTGGAAGCTAATGTGCCTGATAGCCTGTTTTCTGCAAAAATGTTGTTGTATAACTTTGGGCCTAGACAAGCGGATTGGCTCTTGAATTTTTACAAAAGTTAATTAGGAGATTTTATTTGTTTACAGAAGAGAAATAGTTGATGGGTAGAGACAATTTCATTTCATCTTTCCCATCAGTAAAAGTACCCGTAAGGAATATTATTCTTACGGGTACTGTAACATCAATGCGGTTGGAGCATCAACATTAGTTCCAGCATTAAGGGAGAAATAGTACAAATTGCATGGGAAGACTGATTAGTGGACTCATTTCATCTGGGGAAAGTGACTTTTAACAAGAACATTTGAAATCTGTGAGCAGCATGACTGTAATGGTGCTGACGAGTAGTACTTGATACTTCAGCCACCCAAGTATCATACTGGTATATCAATCGCTTGATGGTTGTACGAAGGCGTGTCCAAAATAAAAGTTAGGTAGCAAGTTGATAGAGCATAGAACCTTTACTGTAGGAAGAGGGTGAAAGGCTAGTTTCTTGTGAGGCTTGGTGATGCTTCCGAAGCCAGAGGTGATGAACTACAGTGAATGACATCAGGTGATGAAAAAATAAAAAACAGCACTATCTCATTCTATAAAGTAGGACTTTAGTTTGTCCAGCGTAGCACTTATAGGTTTATCCCGTCTTCTTTGACCTTTTTTGTCACTACTCCTGATCATGTCTCTTTTGAAATGAAGTAAAGGACAAAGTAAAGGCCACAGATGATGCTGTCGGACTTGAAGAAAGTTTGGCTGTTGCATTTCATCATTTGACGTAATATTGGGTTTTGGGACTATATCAGCAGATAAGTCAACAGTATTGGGTAGTCAGGTATTGTCTCGCTAGAGGGGTTTATCAGCTGTGACTGGAGGATGTAAACAGGTGCCAAAAGCTAAACTGTTGCTTCGTATTAATATTTTTCCCAAGATGAAACCTATATATGAATGACATGGTAGTGGATTAGCTAGAATTACTTATGTGTGGTATATTTGTTCTTAGATCGAAATATTTTTGCATACCTACAGCTCATTTGGACACAAGCTGCTAACCAACAAGCCTTGAGATCTGAGTAGTAACTTAGTATATACTTCTACTCCTCAGCTTCCAATTAGGATCGCGCTCCACCTAGAAATCCATGAATGTAGATTCTAGGTCCTTTGTTGACATCAATATGTTAGCAAATGGTGCATGTAACCTGTGAATTTTTTGAACACTGCAATTCAAATATGAAAACCAAAGAAAGGTATGGTAGTTACCATTTCTGGCTCGTTTTAGTTTTCCTTGTAATTTTGTGCGACATAAATGGTCATTTCAGTAAACTTTGGACTTGCTTTGCAGGTGCCTGGAAAATCAGCAAAGGAATGTTTTGACAAGATACATTCGGATTTCATGACCCCACCTCAGCCTCAACCACGTTCAAGGGTTAAAAAGATGAACACATCATCACTTTCTCCTTGTGCAACTAAACTGCTCCTGTCCACGGGGAAAACCACCAAAAAGCTCAGATATAGCAAGCCGAAGAGCCATCTCTCACGGAAGAAAGTGAGACAACTACTGCAAAAGCAAAACGACGTAAATCGAGATAAGGNGCAAAAGCAAAACGACGTAGATCGAGATAAGGAGGCAGACTTCTTCAATGTTCTTGAATCAACAGATCCAACTGCTAGGGCATTTTGCCAGAATACAGAAATTTTCACCCCAGAGCGCAACGAAGAAGGTTTGCATTATCTTAGAAAGTGCCTGGAGAGATCCTCTTCGGCACATAAAAAGCACCTTTCCCGATTAAGTGGTTCATCAGTAGCAGCTCTTACCAGCCCACCAGTGCTAAAGCCAATTAAGAACAAGGTGCTACATGAGAGGTACATTGATCAGCTACATTGCAGGGAAGCAAAGAGAAAAGCAGCCACTTCAAGATCAGCAAAGGGCCACCAAAATAAGAATGATCACAAGGATGAGAATGTCNTCGCCAAAATAAGAATGATCACAAGGATGAGAATATTGTCAGAAAAATGGATGTGATTAAAGTTGCAAAAAATGCTCTCATATCCAAAGCAAGAGATGCAATCGACCAGTTTCAGAATATACAGATACATGCTATGGACATCTTCAATGATGATGATGATGATGATCATGATGAGATTCATAATTCTGATGATGACGCCGAGGATGTCTGATGAAAGGTGGACTTTGACATTTCCACCCCATGATAGTATTCACATTTGTATTGTTAACTCGATTTTCAGTAAGCTAACCCGAACTGTATCACTTTGAGTTAGGATTCAGTCAGTCTCAGGAACATACGTTCTGTAATAAAGCTATTGTGTATATGTGAAGTTGAGTCTCTCTTCTTGAAATTCAGCAATTCTTTAGTAGAGGCATGTGTAGAGTATAATGTATTTCAAGTGATAAGCTACCTGATGAAGTAGAAATATGACATAAAATATAGTAAAATCTCTGATAGGAGACAGTTTGTTACTTCAGTAATAAAAACTAAATATTCTTATAGCTTAATGCTTAGTAGATTTAGAGCGTGTTAGGCCAAGCTGCTTATTTTGAGAAGCACTTTTGTCTCACACTTCATGTTAAAGATCCAATAATTCTAGCAAGACTGGAAAATTTTCTATCTTGTATTAATGCATACAGGCATATTTAAATTACTGCTCCAATTTACTAGCTTGCACCTATACTCTCTCCAAAACACCAGTTGAATTAGGAAAAATTGCACCAATGGAGCAATTCGTGACTTTGACAGATTCAGGCGCCTGCAAAATACAGGAATCTCTAATGTTTTCTTTTCCTGCTACGTAATGAATATAAAGTTGAGTAAGAACCCTATCGTTATTGCATAAATAATAAAGGCAAAATGGCCTCTAGCCACTTAAACTAGTACCTATTTGTCATCCCGGTATATGAACTTTTATTTTTTTCATTTGGACACCTCTACTTGATGAACTGAATACTAATAAACACATCCGACTTGTCCTTCACTCTGTGACATGACTGACACGTCATATACTAAGCCTTTTATTCTTTGACATGTGTAATATGTGGGTCCTACTTTAAAAAAAATTATTTTACCAAATTTTTTATTCTCCCCCTCTTTAAAAAAATAATTTTTTCTTCTTCTTCATAGTCAAAGCTCCTGTCGGTCCACCACCATTCCACCATATTCAATACTCAGCCATCAATAAAAAAAAATTCCATTCTCTTCATCTTAAAAATCATCCTCTCAAAAGACCTCCGAAATCAGTAAAATTAGTCATTGCCTCAACGAGTCACCATTAAAAGGTCAAAAAATTTTATTTACCGCGGACAATCCCTCAAACAAGAAAAAAATTAAAGATGATATTCATTTTAATTTTTTGCAGTGAAACTTTTAATGAAGAAAAATGGTGTCTGTTTTGATTCCCATGGGAGACTCATATTGCGGGTCCTAAGGGTAAGAGTTTGGGGCACATATGTTATTTCTGGTTGAATCTATGGACCCTGAAAGGTGAACACTGGAGGCTCAACATACGGCCATGGTATAGTTGGTTGTGTTGTGGGGCTGATTGCCGCTGCAGAGAACGTTACTGGCGGTGCCCTTGAATCCGGCGCCTGGGGGTGAACCACAGAAGGCATTCCGGGGCCATTAGACGGCATTAGGAGGTGCCTGCATGGGATGAGTGGGTTGGGCACAAGGATGTTGGTAATCCCAAGTGATATCGGGATCAACTCAGGGAACCCAAGGATTGCACTTGGAGATTCCCTACCATTAGACTAGGCGTCCCATATTTTCAACATGTGGAGACGCAACATTCTATTTTCTTCAGTAGCTGCTGATTCTGGTTGCAGAATAGCCGATGTCGGGCTATCCTCAGGACAGTTGATTGGTAGATTGCTTGTGGAGGTCATCTCTGCCTGTGGATCTTGTGAAGGATGGGAAGCCAGACTACCAACAAAACCAACCACCTGAACATAACCTAACTAATTTTCACACACAACAACCTTGTTAGTTTTGAGACATTTAACATATAGGAAATCGCATGTTGGGATGCAATGCACCTAACAATTAAACGCTTCTACCATGTGTTTGAACGGTTACGTGTTTCATCCCGGCCTTTAAATGTTCCTTTCCATTCTCTACCTCTCATTTCCATTTTTGTCTCCCTCTTTTTTTTTTCTTTTTTGAATTTTTCATATCTCGAATCCGATAGGGATTGTCTACGTATCATGATACCGCAAGAATCAGATCTCGCGTAGTTCGGAAAGATTGAGAATGGAGTAAATAAGCTAACTCTTCTTCTTCTTTATTTTACTTTTATAAAACTAAGACATATTTTTTTGAATTTCATTTTTCTTTTTTTTTTTGGAATTTTTGAAGGAAAGACTTTAAAAGAAGAAAGAAAATATTTTTGGCTCTTTTTTTTATTATGATTTTTTTTTGAAATGTTTGAAAGAAAGACTTATAAAGAAGCAAGAAAAATATTTTTTGGGATTTTGATTTGTATTATTTTTCTTTTTCTTTTTCTTTTTGAATTTCTAGGAAAAAGATTTCTAAAGAACGGAAAAATATTTTTTTTTATTTTGATTGATTATTTTTGAATGAAAGACTTCTAAAAATTCTTTTTCTTTTGTTTTGAATTTTGGAAATTTCAAAAGTAAAAAGAAAATATTTTTATTGAATTTCCATTCGTTTTGTCCTTTTTTTTTAAGAAGAAAGAAAATATTTTTGGATTTTGAATGTTGCCTCTAAATTTTCAAAAGAGAGACTTTAAAGGAAGACTTCTAAAGAAAATATATATTTTTTTTTTTTTGAATTTTTGTTTCTGATTTATTTTTTAATTTTTGGAAAAAACAATTCTGAATAAGGGAAAAACATTTTTTTTAAGCAAATAGACTACTAGGTTATTCACCTAGTAGTTCTTATATAGATAATAATTCCCAAATCAGGTCAAAGTTACACAATGTTCTATTGCTACCAAATACAATGTAGCAGTATCATGTAAATAGCAGCCAAAGCAAATCTAGTAATTTGAGCCATCCAATTGTTGCTGACGACGATGAATTTACACACCACTTGCAACCAGCTGTTGTAGCACCTCTCACCAGGCGCCATTTGTTGCAATCCAAGAGGAATAGCATGTATAATTCACAAGTTCTAAAGCAAATCAAATTGGACATATTAAATTTTTGGTCTGAAGAACTCCAAAAGTAGAATCTTCATTTTTGGTTTGATTGAATGTGTGAAGCTCAATGTCTAGCAGCAGCAATGAAGTTCTACAGCAGCAGCATCATAACCCAGTGGAGCATTAGAACATTTGCAATAATCCATTAATATCAGCTGTAGGAGCAGTAGTTGCTGCATAAGAGTAGCAGTAGATGTATTTGCAACAGTAGCAGCTGGATAACTTCATCAAAGGGCATCTGACCATTGAGCCTCCTTTGCATCTGATACAAAGCCAGCTATGTAGGACTCTCCGTTTCCCAGTATAAATGTAGCAGGTGGAATAGTCCCATGAAACTCTGTTGGCAATTAGAGCTCTGTAGTGATATCTTCCAATTTTGCGCACCTGTTGCATCCTGAGATATGCCTTGTTGAAGCATAGTTGTTGTAATTTCTCGAACCAAACCCAGAATGAGCATGGTAATGCTAATACCACTGGGTATTGAGTCGATAAGATTCCAACATTTACTACCTTCTTGATAACAGTAGCATTTGACATGTTTTGGGCAGCAACAGTTCTTGTAGAAGTAGCAGCACAATATGATTTATGTTTCTGAAGTCCAATTGTTGTGTTTCTTAGTGAAACTGGTACATTGATTTGATGTTGATCACTTAAGCATGAGGTTACAAGAAATCCTATTTTCCGATGTCTTAAAAATTCGAGCTTTTCTCTGTATCGTGCAAAATGTAACAAACAAGTTAGTAGTAGAGTTTCTTCCCCCAGCTTCCCGTGTGCTCTGGGACCTCTGAAGATGTGAAAGTTGTGGATGAAAGAGGACTTCTGTTGGGGCTGCATCTTCTTTGAATTATTTTTGTTGGTACAGTACAGAATGGCAAGAGGAATCATTTGTATGATGTATGAGAATTCAACCAGTTGAGCAGCAGCAGTAGAGAAGCATAAAAGAGTAATTGTCGAGCAGCATAACAAAGCCATGTTTGATACTCCATATTTGCAGCATCTTCTTTCACTAATGTGGTAATGCTGTGGGATTCGTGATCTCTTCTCTGAATCCAAGTAATCTTTGATAACCTTCATATGGAGCAGCATCATATTAGTTCCAATTGACAGCATGTCAAGTATTGGTTCCATCTGGACAGTGTGTGTCATAGTACATGTGCTCTGTTTCTTGCCAATCTAATCCTTAGATTTGGTAATTGACTCTGTCTTGATTGATTAGAGTTTTACCAGCACTAGGGAATTCATTGAATGATTCAAATTCAACAGGGCCTTCAGATTGGCAAGATAATCCGCAACTGCATTGCCTTCCCTGAATACGTGCTGAAATATCACATTGAATTGGTCTTTGATTTCCTTAATCCTCCTCAGCTCTTTGCAAATACTCCATTGTACTTCCCACTGTTCATCAATGGTCTTTTTCAAAATTAGTGAGTCAGTTTCAACAATGAGTGGATGCAATTGATTTCTGAAACAGTACGACAGGCCCTCAAGTACTGCCTTAGCCTCAGCTATCATGTTTGTTGCGATCCCTATCTGCTCAGCTTTTGCATAAACCACATCTCCCGCAGAATCCCTCAGACAAAAACCGTATGAGCTTGGTCCTGGATTTCCTCGAGATGCCCCATCGGTATTGCATTTAAACCATCTCACATGTGGAAGCTGCCACGTCACCCTTTTTGTAATAACTACATGTTTATAAGTTTCAAAAAACTTAATCTTGTCTGGCCAAAGAAGAGGGATATTTGACATCCAATTGTACCTAACTTTAGCAAGATAATACAGTGTGTTATTAACCTCATGCACCACTCTGTTAGTAGACGCATTTTTACCTCCGTGTTTTATTGAGTTCCTTCT